TGTGTGTCTGTGAGGGTGTGTGTCTGTGAGGGGGTGTGTGTCTGTGGACGGTGTGTGTCTGTGACGGTGTGAGAGGCTGCTGTGAGGGTGTGGTTGCTGTGAGGGTGTTGTGAGGCTGCTGTGAGGGTGTGTGTGTCTGTGAGGGTGTGTGGAGGCTGCTGTGAGGGTGTGTGTCTGTGAGGGTGTGTGAGGCTGCTGTGAGGATGTGTGTCTGTGAGGTGTATGTCTGTGAGGGTGTGTGTCTGTAGGGATGTATGAGGCTGCTGAGGTGTGTGTCTGTGAGGGTGTAGAGGCTGCTGTGAGGGGTGTGTGTCTGTGGTGTGTGTGTGTGTCTGTGATGGTGTGTGTCTGTGAGGGGTGTGTGGAGGCTGCTGTGAGGGTGTGTGTCTGTGAGGGTGTGTGAGGCTGTGTGATGGTGTGTGTCTGTGAGGGTGTGTGTGTCTGTGATAGGGTGTGTGTCTGTGAGGGTGTATGGGGCTGCTGTGAGGTTGTATGTGTCTGCGTGGTGGTCTGTGAGGTGTGTCTGTGAGGGGTGTCTGTGAGGGGTGTGTGTCTGTGAGGGTGTGTGAGGTGTATGTCTGTGAGGGTGTGTGTCTGGTGGTGTCTGTGGGGTGTAGAGCTGCTGGGGTGAGCTGTAGGGTGTATGTCTGTGAGGTGTGTAGGCTGCAGATGGTGTGTGTGTCTGTGAGGGTGTGTGTCTGTGAGGGTGTATGTCTGTGAGGGTGTGTGTCTGTGAGGTGTGTGTCTGTGAGGGGTGTATGTCTGTGAGGGTGTGTGTCTGAGGGTGTCTGTGAGGGTGTATGTCTGTGAGGGTGTGTCTGTGAGGGTGTATGTCTGTGAGGGTGTGTGTGTGTCTGTGAGGGTGTGTGAGGCTGCTGTGAGGGTGTATGTCTGTGAGGGTGTGTCTGTGAGGGTGTATGTCTGTGAGGGTGTGTGAGGCTGCTGTGAGGGTGATGTCTGTGAGAGTATGTCTGTGAGGGGTGTGTGAGGCTGCTGTGAGGGTGTATGTCTGTGAGGGTGTATGTCTGTGAGGTGTATGTCTGTGAGGGTGTGTGTGTGTGAGGTGTGTGAGGCTGCTGAGGTGTATGTCTGTGAGGGTGTGTCTGTGAGGTGTCTGTGAGGTGGTAGGGTGTGTGGAAGCTGCTGTGAGGGGTGTATGTCTGTGAGGGTGAGTCTGTGAGGGGTGTGGAGGCTGCTGTGGGGTGTATGTCTGTGAGGGGTGTATGTCTGAGGGTGTGTGTCTGTGAGGGTGTATGTCTGTGAGGGTGTGTGTGTCTGTGGTGTGTGTCTGAGGGTGTGGGTCTGTGAGGGTGTGTGTGTGTGTCTGGAGGGTGTGTGTGTGTCTGTGAGGGTGTGTGTGTGTGTGTCTGTGAGGTGTGTGTGTCTGTGAGGGTGTGTGTGGGCTGCTGTGAGGGGTGTATGTCTGTAGGGGTGTGTGAGGCTGCTGTGAGGTGTGTCTGTGAGGGTGTGTGAGGATGGTGTGTGTCTGTAGGGTGTGTGAGGCTCCTGTGAGGGTGTATGTCTGTGAGGGTGTGTGTGGCTGTGAGGTGTATGTCTGTGAGGGTGTGTCTGTGAGGGGTGTGTCTGTGGTGTATGTCGGTGAGGGTGTATGTCTGAGGGAGCTGTGTCTGTGAGGGTGTGTGTCTGTGATGGTGTATGTCTGTGAGTGTGTGTGAGGCTGCTGTGATGGTGTGTGTGTCTGTGAGTGTGTGAGGCTGTTGTGTCTGTGAGGTGTGTGCTGCTGTGATGGTGTGTGTCTGTGTGGGGTGTGTGAGGCTGTTGTGATGGTGTATGTCTGTGAGGGTGTGTGGGAGGCTGCTGTGGTGTGTGTGTGTCTGTGAGGGGTGTGTGAGGCTGTTGTGATGGTGTGTGTCTGTGAGGGGTGTGTGAGGCTGCTGTGATGGTGTGTGTCTGTGAGGGTGTGTGAGGCTGTTGTGATGGTGTGTCTGTGAGGGGTGTGTGTCTGTGAGGGTGTGTGAGGCTTTTGTGATGGTGTGTGTCTGTGAGGGTGTGTTAAGCTGTTGTGATGGTGTATGTCTGTGAGGTGTGTGAGGTTGTTGTGATGGTGTGTGTCTGTGAGGTGTGTGGGAGGCTGTGTGAGGCTGCTGTGTGAGGTGTGTCTGTCTGTGAGGGTGTATGAGGCTGCTGTGATGGGGTGTGTGTCTGTGAGGGTGTGTGAGGCTGTTGTGATGGTGTGTGTCTGTGAGGGTGTGTGAGGCTGCTGTGATGGTGTGAGGCTGTTGTGATGGGTGTGTGTCTGTGAGGGTGTGTAGGGCTGTTGTGATGGTGTATGTCTGTGAGGTGTGTCTGTGAGGGTGTGTGAGGTTGTTGTGATGGTGTGTGTCTGTGAGGGTGTGTGGGGCTGTTGTGATGGTGTGTGTCTGTGGTGTGAGGCTGTTGTGATGGTGTGTGTCTGGGTGTGTGAGGCTGCTGTGAGGGTATGTGAGGCTGTTCTGATGGTGTGTGTCTGTGAGGGGTGTGAGGCCTGCTGTGTGAGGGGTGTGTGAGGCTGTTGTGATGGTGTGTGTCTGTGAGGGTGTGTGTGTCTGTGGGGTGTGTGTGAGGCTGTTGTGATGTGTGTGTCTGTGAGGGGTGTGTGGGGCTGCTGTGAGGGTGTGTGTGTCTGTGAGGGTGTGTGAGGCTGTTCTGATGGTGTGTGTCTGTGAAGTGTGTGAGGCTGTTGTGATGGTGTGTGTCTGTGAGGGTGTGTGTGAGGCTGTTGTGAGTGGTGTGTTGTCTGTGAGGGTGTGTGAGGCTGTTGTGATGGTGTGTGTCTGTGAGGTGTGTGAGGCTGTTGTGATGGTGTGTGTCTGTGAGGGTGTGTGAGGCTGTTGTGATGGTGTGTGTGTCTGTGAGGGTGTGTGAGGCTGCTGTGAATGTTGTGTGTCTGTGGTGTGTGAGGCTGTTGTGATGGTGTGTGTCTGTGTGAGGGTGTGGGGCTGCTGTGATGGTGTGTGTCTGTGAGGGTGTGTGTGAGGCTGTTGTGAGGGGTGTGTGAGGCTGCTGTGAGGGTGTGTGTCTGTGATGGTGTGTGTCTGTGAGGGTGTGAGCTGCTGTGAGTGTGTGTGAGGCTGCTGTGATGGTGTGTGGCGTGAGGTGTATGGGCTGTTGTGAGGGTGTATGTCTGTGAGGGTGTGTGGGCTGCTGTGATGGTGTGTGTCTGTGAGGGTATGTGAGGCTGTTGTGATGGTGTGTCTGTGAGGGTGTGAGGCTGTGTGATGGTGTGTGTGTCTGTGTGAGGGTGTGTGAGGCTGTTGTGAGGGTGTATGTCTGTGAGGGGTGTGTGAGGCTGCTGTGAGGGTGTGTGTCTGTGGTGTGTGAGGCTGTTGTGATGGTGTGTGTCTGTGAGGTGTGAGGCTGTTGTGATGGTGTGTGTCTGTGAGGTGTGTGAAGCTGCTGTGATGGTGTGTGTGTGTCTGTGAGGGTCTGTGAGGCTGCTGTGATGGTGTGTGTCTGTGGTGTGTGAGGCTGCTGTGATGGTGTGTGTGTCTGTGAGGGTGTGTGAGGCTGCTGTGATGGTGTGTGTCTGTGAGGGTGTGTGGGAGGCTGTTGTGATGGTGTGTCTCTCTGTGAGGGTGTGTAGGCTGCTGTGATGGGTGTGTGTCTGTGAGGTGGGTGAGGCTGGTGTGTGTCTGTGAGGGGTGTGTCTGTGGTGTGTCTGTGGAGGCTGCTGTGAGGTGTGTGGGGCTGCTGTGATGGTGTGTCTGTCTGTGAGGCTGTTGTGATGATGTGTGTCTGTGAGGGTGTGTGTGAGGCTGCTGTGAGGGTGTATGTCTGAGGGTGTATGTCTGTGATGGGTGTGTCTGTGAGGGTGTGTGGGAGGCTGCTGGTGATGGTGTGTGTCTGTGAGGGTGTGTGTCTGTGAGGGTGTATGTCTGTGAGGCTGCTGTGAGGGTGTCTGTGAGGTGTTGTCTGTGATGGTGTGTGTGTGTCTGGGGGTGTTGAGGCTGTTGTGATGGTGTGTGTCTGTGAGGGTGTATGTCTGTGATGGTGTGTCTGTGAGGTGTGTGAGGCTGCTGTGGGTGTGTGTCTGTGAGGGGTGTGTCTGTGAGGTGTATGTCTGTGAGGGTGTATGTCTGTGAGGGTGTATGTCTGTGATGGTGTGTGTAGGCTGTTGTGATGGGTGTGTGTCTGTGAGGGTGTGTGAGGCTGTTGTGATGGTGTGTGTGTCTGTGAGGGTGTGTGAGGCTGTTGTGATGGTGTGTGTCTGTGAGGGTGTGTGAGGCTGCTGTGATGGGTGTGTGTCTGTGAGGGTGTGTGAGGTTGTTCTGTGGTGTGTGTGTGAGGGGTGTGTGAGGCTGTTGTGATGGTGTGTGTCTGTGAGGGTGTGTGAGGCTGTGTGATGGTGTGTGTCTGTGAGGGTGTGTGAGGCTGTTGTGATGGTGTGTGTCTGTGAGGGTGTGTGGGCTGCTGTGATGGTGTGTGTCTGTGAGGTGTGAGGTTGTTGTGATGGTGTGTGTCTGTGAGGGTGTGTGAGGCTGTTGTGATGGTGTGTGTCTGTGAGGGTGTGTGAGGCTGTTGTGATGGTGTGTGTCTGTGAGGGTGTGTGAGGCTGTTCTGATGGTGTGTGTCTGTGAGGGTGTGTGAGGCTGCTGTGAGGGTGTGTGAGGCTGCTGTGATGGTGTGTGTCTGTGAGGCTGCTGTGATGGTGTATATCTGAGGGTGTGGCCATGTAAGGGTGTGAGGACGGTGTGAGAGTGTGAGGCTGGTGTAAGGGTGTGAAGCTAGAGTGAGAATGAGAGGATGGTGTGAGGGTGTTAGGTAGGTGTAATAATTAAGAAAATAAGTAAACACTGTAATAATTAAGTCAGTAAGTAAGTAATAATGATGCCAGTAACAAGTGAATCATACAACATAATGTTCAGAGACGCTTGTGACTGAGACAATTAGGAAAGTTATTTGCTTGACATTATTATCTGATCCTTGTTTTCATAAATGTTGAACAGTGCACAATTCTGGTTTGGCTTTTATTAAATCTATTTCTGGAAATGAGAAACAAATTCAAACACATGATTTTATTAACACAAAAGATTACAAAGAAGACATCACCTATGACTCGCATCACACCAGACGACCCATGTACTTAGATCGTGGGTACTTGTCCTTCAGCTGTGGCCATTGTACAATAAAGTCATCCGTTATTCTATACAACATGCGGCCAGATAGAGAGAGGGACTGCACACGACAGAGGCTTTCAATAAATACCACACGAGCCTGACAAATACCAAGGATGCGAAATAATACAGCTGAAATGCATACCGGCACACACGTTCCTGGCCCATTGGTGAGGATGAGCGATGGACGGTGACGAGCAACTATTAAAACACTAAAGATAAAAGCCCATACTGCAGTGACTGTTGTTGAAGTCCATGACTGTCCCACCTCCCTAGTCCGGGGCACAACTTCCACTATGAACTGGTCCTCTCCTCCGCTGTTTACCTGGAGGAACGAAGAAAAAATACCATAGTAATAAAGCGAGGATTTGAGGGTAGACTGTCACACTTTCAATAAATTTTTTCTGATTATTTGTGAGAGAGTTTTCCCATTACAATATTATTTATTTGTATGTGTTTTGTGTGTGTGTGTGTGTCTGCAGTACAGGTAAAGAAAATTACTGTCTCTAGAATGAATGGCTCCCTGTCCCATCTGCGTAAATGCTGGCAACTTTAAAACTACCCACAGACCTTCTTGGGTACATCCAGGGTGTCATCTGCGAATAATAGAGGACTGCGAAATAAAAATCAGTGAATTTGGGGGGCCCCCTGTACTTGGGTTCATACAAAGGGGTGTTAGTTACAAAATTAGCAAGGTTATCCTAAAAATATATCTTGCGCTTGTGAGACCTCACTTGAATTACACAGTTCAGTTCTGGTCACCTTACTACAGAATGGATATAGAATCCCAAGAAAGAAATCAGAAGAGAATGACAAGACTAATCCCAGGCATTAGGAACCTTGAGTACAGAGAAAAGGTTAAAGCACCTCAATTTGCACTCCCTCGAGAGATGTAGAGCGAGGGGCGATATGATCAAAGTGTATAAATCGAAGTCAGGGCTAAACAAAGGTGATATAACAAAGGTACACAAACTATCCAACCGGGAGCAAACTCGTAGCAATGGTTTTAAATAAGACAAATTTAGATTTAGGCATGAGATAGGTAAACACTGGTTTGGAAATAGAGTAGTGGATGAGTGAAACAAGTTGCCAAACATCATCATTAACTTAAATACGCTGGATAGCTTCAAATATAGGTTGGATGGGTATATGAGCGATAGGTGTGAGGTGTAAATGGGATTGCCCGCTGCAGTTTCCTCCATTCTTATGTACTTATTTACATTAAAGGCGGGCAGTCACATCCCATCGCTTCATGGCAACGTGTACATCATATACTGTATATTCGAAAATGTCACATAATCCAAAATTTTACGAAATACAGGATGTACCTCTCTAGTCCGGCATTCTGTGGTCCAGAAACTCCCATGGTCCGGAACGATTTTAGCTTGCCCAATAGTTAGATGGGCAGCTTTTTTTTTTATCTGAATTATTATTATTATTATTACAGGAGTATTACATTTTCGCCACTCAGGCTCCAATGTGGGTCAGTGACCTGTGCCCGGGTGGGCTAATCCCTAAAAAAAAAAAAAAAAAAACAAAGCCGCGGGAAATTAAGGTTTGTTTACAACCGGCAGTTCGGCGCTCTCTCTCTCTCTCTCTGTTTGTCTGTACAGTACAGAGTACAACATTTAACCCTTCAATATATATGAACAGTAAATAAGTGTTGCTTTTATATTCTTATGTAGAGTAATGACGATATGTTTTTACATGTGCTCACTTACAAAGGCGCAGTCTCACTTTTTTTCTTTAACATTAATGGTTAGCTACTTATATTGTTCCATTTATTAACATTAAATAACATTACTTCAAACAACCATATTAATTTTTACATTAATTTTACTACAGCTACAACCAGGGTTTTATTTTCTTGTTTTATATGTAGAACCAATCAGTCACTGGTTTTGTAAACATTAACGAAAACAATGCCGGCAGCCGTCTCGTCTCCTCGTGTGTTTTAATGTTCCACGAATTATTAATAAATTGTATTGTTCATTTTGCACACACAAACATTAATTCAATAAAAAAAATCAGAAACATTAATTAAAACATATATGAACAGTAAATAAGTGTTGCTTTCATATTCTTATGTAGGGTAATGATGATATGTTTTTCACATGTGCGCACTTACATATGCGCAGTCTCACTTTTTTCTTTAACATTAATGGTTGTTACTTTTATTGTTCTATTTATTAACATTAAATAACATTACTTAAAACAACCATATTATTTTTTTACATGAATTTTACTACAGTTACAACCAGGGTCTTATCTTCTTGTTTTATATGTAGAACCAGTCAGTCACTGGTTTTGTAATCAATGAAAACAATGCTGTCTCATTTCCTTGAGTGTTTTAATATTCTACGTATTATTAATGAATTGTATTTCTCATTTTGCACACAAACATTAATTCAATAAAAAAGACATTCAGTAATAAACAATAATGAATCTTTTGTACATAAGAGAAATGACGCTGTTTACACGATTGTGCACGTCGTCTGAACGTTGGCGGGCCATTCAAACCCGTCGAAATTCGAGTTTCTGCCCTCAAATTTTTAAATTATGTAGTGTTTTTTTTGTGTCCAAATAAAAAACGTTGAATTAAAAACTAGCGAAATTTGAGAAGCTACTGTACGACATTTAACCCTTCAATAGGTCTTCAAAGAGACCACGAGGCAGTGAAAGTGGTGCTAACGTAAGCGCAAGTCACTATCTGTCCAGGAAAAGGGTGAATTTCCATGGTCCGGAAATTTCCATGGTCCGGCACCGGTCAGGTCCCGAGGTTGCCAGACTAGAGAGGTGCAACCTGTACAGTAATAGCTCTGTTAGCCAGAATCCCTTTGGGAACGATTTTCTGAGGGGCACATTTTCTGGAAAATTCATAGAAAATTTTCCTGATACCCAGAAAATTTCAGGGATGGGGGTTTTTTTTTCTGGGTTTGAGAGATGAAAATCGGGCGTATTTTCCGGAAATTCTGAGGACAATTTTCCGTACCCAGAAAAATCCAGGGATGAGGGCCATTTTTCCGGCTTTGAGAGAGTCTTCTCATTCCCGGAAGTGCTCTAACCATTTGTTCCAGCTAACAGAGATACCACTGTAATACTGTAAACAAATTGTAATATACCCCTACATATATATCATATGTCTCTCGTAGATCAAAATTTTACCAAATATTAAATTTTTTTATAATATTTCATAACAGCCAAACATTATGCATTATAAGTGATTTTGAATTTTAGGGGTGCAAATTATGGGGGTTTAATGAATATTGTTTATTGCCCATATTCAAGTTGCAGTATCCTTCTCTACTCTACTGTTATTCTTGTATGGGTGTCATTTCTTGCCTCTTACCTTTTATTTTCCCACTTGTATGTGCTTACTGGGACAACCCTGGAGCTTTCTAAATGTTTCTTTTTCAAATGGAAGAAAGTATTTTAAATGCCTGAGGTGAGAAGTGGTGGTGTAGGAGGCTGGTGAAAGTCATATTTATCAGTGAGAACATGATTTCATAAGCTCTTTGTCTAAACTAACAATGCTAAGTCAAATATCAGTACTGTACAAGCATTATAAATCTTCAGCACTGGTGACTTCAGACTGTTATCAAGTTTATTAATGTTAAGATAGATTCTAGGGTCAAATTCTTTGGACTGGAGGGCATCACAGTTTATAAAAGATTTGGTGGTAAAAAATTATTGGGCAGGAATGTACACGTAACCCCCGAGGTACTATATTTCACTTTAACGATGGTTATAAATTAACACCATCTTGTTAAATATACGATCAAAACAACTTGCTTTAACGATATCCGTATAATAGCCATTGATATTCATTGGTCGGATTTTTTTTCTCTAGTGCAAAGTATGGGTTGTTTATATTCAAATCAATCGCAGTCTTGCAAGGATTCCAGCATTTCTATGCCAATTCAGTGACATTTTATAAGGAAATAATATTTCACCCTATGCACCATGCATCTCTACCTTCACTTGTCAGCCTACCCACATGTCGCCACACGGCCAACCCGCGCACTACTGCCTTCCCCTTGGTTCTTTGTCAGTTGTAAATTCACCCATCACATTGCTCCATGATTATCAGCCAGCATCATACATTGTGCTTCTCATCAGTGGCTTTTTCTTATATAGTGAGAGGACAGCACTAACCCTTAGATTGAACTGTATTATGGTGACTGTGAAGTGATATTTTCTGTGTTTTTGTGAATAAGATGCATCGACTGTTGTTTTGAAATTGTGAGCTGTGTCGGCCGCTATCACAGTTTTTGTTATCATCGTTCGCTCCGTTTTTGTGACTGAAGTGAGCAGTGTAACTTTGAAAATGTCTAGGAAGGCCAAGGCACCCATGACAACCGTGTCTCTGAGGTGACGCTTGACAATGTTAAGCAGCACGAGACTCCTCAGAAGCTGTGTGGGAGTCACAGTGACGTCTCCACTCCACCCACAAGAGTCCCCTTTGCCATTGTATCTTGGGGGTTACCTGTACACTCGCTACAGAAAGTATCTGCAAGGTGGGGTCCGATGAATTTTTAAATGAACACTGCGACTCCTGACATCTCGGTAGGGTTGTCAAAACCCTTTGTCCGTTGTCATATTGTCTAACAAAAAATTTTGCAGATAATTTTTGTCGCAAATGTACCTCAGTTTATAGTGTGGGATCCTACATGAAAATGCAGATAACCCCCAAGATACGATGGGGTTACGTTCCTGAAAAACCCATCGGTAGGTGAAATATTGTAAATAGGGAGCATTATAACATGGGGTTCAATGGGATACGTTCCCAGCCAGTCCCCAAACACACATGTATCACCGACAAAAAATTTCCTACACTACTACTATCAGTACAAAACATGTATAACTTACATTGCTGGAATCCTTGCAAGACACTGATTAATTTGAATATAAACAACCATAGTTTGCAATAGAGAAAAAAAAGTCTGACTCCTGGATATCGATGGATATCGTTAAAGTGGGTTGTTTTGATCATACATAGCGAGTTGGTGTTAATTTATAACCATCGTTAAAGTGAAACATCACGTTTAGAGTTACCCGCAGGTCCATTATGGTGAGAATTCACCCTGCAGATACTATTTTAATAACAGCCATCTATCATTACGTGGGACCTGGCCATACTCAAAGGGTAAAGTGATCTAATGGATACTTTCCTCCTGTTCTAGAGGTCACTGATTCATTCCAGGGCATCCCACTCCACCCAAATGTGAATGGGAACTTAACTTTAGAGCTGAGCAATGAATGTAGTTCAGAGCAGTACTGGCCACAATGTGCTACTGAATAAACCATCAGGTTTATGGGACCCATTTACATTGTTTATTTGTACTGTACTTTCCTCCAAGTGTACATTATCTGAGACCCAATTTCTAAATACTGTACAGTAGCAGCCAGCATGGACTGGTTCACTTAAAAGATAAACATATCAACAAGTACATTTCTTCCTACACTGTTTTAAGTATTGCTGAAGAGTCTTTGATATCCAAGTAAAAGATGTGAAAACTGTTTGTGGAAGTTGCAACATGAAATATCCCGTCTTAAAAAATAAAATAACTTGCATGTAAGAAACACACAAAAGATAACAATTTGTACCATCACTGAGACAACAACAGCAGCATGTAAAATTATCTATAAAAGGATGAAAAACAAGCAAAAAATTACCTATACAGCTACTCCTCGACTTACGACCACCCGGACATACGACCGCCCCAGTCGTACCAAATTTTTTTCAATTTACGTATTTTCGAGTCCCAACATTAGTGATTGCGCTGTGTACTGACAAAATTTTAGTTTGCAATTCCCTTTAAAATGGCTGGCATGCTTAAAAGTGAGTTTTGTGGTGCTGAGAAGAAAAAGAGACATCCATTTTAGATTTTCTATGCATTATCTTTGCATTTTCGACTTACGACCTGGATTTGGGTCCCTAACCCCGTCGTAAGTCGAGGAGTGACTGTATAGATAAATCTTTTCACTGAAGCATGAGAACTGAAGACCCTCATCTTATTCTTGCATTACCAAACAAAATCCCTAGACTTACCTGAAGTCTTTCCTCCATCTGTGAGAGTCTTTTGAGGCTGATGGCATCTGTAGCGGCTACAACATAAACTCGTGGACTATAGCAAAATGGATCCAATGTGGCAACCATTTTGAGCATTTCCCCAGTATGACCACCTGAACCAAGAACTACCAAAGTTTTCACAGTCTTCTCAGTAACCATCAGAGGTATGTGGCTACAGAGGTTGATTGAGTACAAGACGTACCCAACACGTATCAGCAGTATTATATATATACGTAACTGG